GAAAAGTAGCTAGGCATGTGGTCAGCACCTGTAGTCCCAGCTACTTGGGAGGCTGAGGCAAGAGAGTTACTTAAGACCAAGAGTTTGAGGTTGCTGTGAGCTGTGACGCCACAACACTCTACCCAGGGTGACATAGTGATACTCTGTCTCAAAAATAAATGAAAAGAAAAGAAAAAACAGGATCCACTTGCATGGCACTTGGGAGACTGATCTGGGAGGATAGCTTGAGCCCAAGACTTTGAATCCTTGAATTCAAGAGATCTTGTTTCCAAAAGGAAAAACAAAGAAGAAGGAAGAAGAACAAGAGAAGAAGGAGGCGAAGGAAAAAGTGAAGAAAGAAGAGAAGAGGAGAGAAGAGGAGAGAAGAGAAGAGAAGAGAAGAAAGGAGAGGAGAGGAGAGGAGACTCGGAGAGGAGACTCAGAGAGGAGAGGAGAGGAGAGAGAAAGAAAGAAGAAGAAAGAAAGAAGAAGGGACACAAAAAGATTTTTCATTCAAATAGTAACTAAAAAACAGCAAGGATAGCTATATCAATATCAGATGAACTAGAGTATAGAAAGTAGTTACAAGAAACAAAAAAGAATATAATATTGTCACTTTTATTAAAAAGAGTCAATTAACTTAGAGTGACAATTAGAAATGCAAGCATATGCAGCAAACATATGTAAATGAAATGAAAGAAAAAATGAATGAGAAGAAATGTAAATGAAAGGAAAAATAGATAGCTCTACAATAAGAGGAGACTTCAATATCTACTATTACTTCCAATAATGGATGGAATGAACAAAGAGAAGATCAGTAAAAACACAGAATTAAATAACCCTGTGGGACAATTGTATGTAACAAACATTTACAGATAATTCCACTCAACAATCGCACTAAACACATTTTTCTTAAGTGTATATGGAAAATTCTCCGGCATAGGTCATATGTTATATTACAAAATAAGTCTTAATAAATCTAAAATGAATTAAAATGATACAAAGTGTTTTCTCTGATCACAATGGAAAAATAATAGAAATTAATAGCAGAAGGAAAACTGGGAAACTCACAAAAATGTGGAAATTAAGAGCACAATCAGAAGAATAAATGAATCAAAGAAAAATCAAGAAAATTTGGAAAATATCTTGAGAAAAATAAAAATGAAAACACAACATACCAAATTGCATAAGGTCCAGAGGAAGCAATGCTAAGAGGAAAATTTATAATTGTAAATACTTACATTCAAAAAATAAGAAAAGTTTTAAATAAAAATCCCAACTTTATACCTTAAAAAGTAAGAAAAGAAGAAAAAACACTAGAAGAAATAATGAAATAAAAATTGAAGCATAAATAGAACAGATAACTGAAAAACCAAAGGAAAAATAAATGAAACTAAGAGTTGATTCTTCACAAGATCAACAAAATTTTAACTAGATTGATTAAGAAAAAAAGAGAGAAGTCTTAAATAACAAAAATCAGAAATGAAAGATGATGTTACCATCATTTTTACAGAAAAAAAGAAGATTTATGACAGTACTGTGTATGTTTATGCAAAAAAAAAAATTGACAACCTAGGGGAAATAGACAAATTACTAAAACATATGATATTCCAAAACTGAGTCATTAAGAAATAGAAACTTTGAGTAGACCCATAACTAGTAATGAGATTAAATCAATAATCAAATTCTTGTCAACAACAACAAAAATACCCAGGACTAGAAGGCTTTACTCATAAATGATATCAAATATATTTGAAGAACTAACAATAGTCCTCCTCAAACTCTTCCAAAAATTGAACAGTAAGGAGAACTTTCTAATTCATTCTATGAGGCAATGTGGATTGACAGCATGAGTTAGAAAGTCAGAAGAAGATAGTACAAGAAAAGAAAACTACAGTATCCCTTATGGATACTAAGGTAAAACCCTCAACAAAGTACTGGCCAAATTCAATAGGATATTAAAAGGATTACACACCACAACTAATGAAAATTTATTCCTGGCATGCAAGGATGGTTCAACGTATGAAAAAAAAAACAGTATATCCTCACTGAAAATGTATTTTTGAAAAATATACAGTATCTGCACTTATCCATGGGGGATATATTCTAAGACCTCTAATGAATGACTAAAAGTGTAGATAGTTCCAAATCCTATATATGTTATTTTTTTTAGATCTGATAACTAACTCATCTGTTAAGGGACTAACAGGAAGGTAATATACACAGTGTGGATATGATAAAAAGAATGGTTCATGTTCTAGGCAGGACAGAGTGAGAGTTCATCACACTACTCAAAACAGCACACAACTTAAAACTATGAATTATTTCTTATTCCAAAAGCAAATAAAACTTTCCACTTAACATTTTCAGAGAACTATGGTAGATCATGGGTAACTGAAACCATGGAAAGCGAAACTGTGGATAACAGGAAACTACTGTACCCCCACATTAAGAGAATGAGAGAAAAACCCATATACTCATCTCAATTGATGCATTAAAAGCATCTAACAAAATTCAGTACCCTTTCATGGTAAAAACATGGACAGGAGCAGATCCCTGGAGGGTGGCATGGCTGGAGAGGGCACAGAAGCTCCACGCCCTTCCCACATGCCTTACCACCCACAGCTCTTCATCTGTGTTCTTTGTATTGTCCTTGACAATAAATCCATGTTTCCCTGCACTCTGTGAGCCACTTCAGCAAATTAATCGAATCTGAGGAGGGGCTTGTGAGAACCTTCATTTTTTCTTTCTTATTTCAGCTTAATGTAAGGGTACAAACAACCAAATCACACTATTTTGAATTTGTTAGGACTTTTAACTGGTCAGACAGAAGCACAAGTGAAACAACCCAGGCTTGTGATTGGCATGAGAAGTGAGGGAGTGGGCTTGGGGTCTGAACCTTCAACATGCAGGATCTGACACTGTCTCCAGGTAGATAATATCAGAATTAATAGGACAGCCTGCCAAGGTCTGCTACAGAACCTACTGCTTACTTGGTGTGTAGGGGAAAACCTTCACCGTTTGCTTATAGATGTTTTCTATGTTGTGTGTTGTGCTGTGAGAGTAAGGCAGGAAGAAACTGAATGTTTTGTTTTGTTTTGTTTCAGAGAGGTTCCCAGAGTAGTCAAATGCATACAGACAGAAAGAATGCTGATTGCCAAGGGCTGGGGGTAAGGGAGAAATGAGAGTTGTCATTTAAAGAGTACTGAGTTTCAGTTCAGGAAGATCAAAAGGTTCTGAAAATGGATGTTGGTAATCACTATACAACACTGTGATTATTCTCAATGCCAGAAAACTACACCCTCAAAAACGTTTCAAATGATAAAGTTTATATTATGTACATTTTACCACAGTAAAAAATATATCTCATATTTTATGAGATAAAAAATATATAAAAATACAAATATTTTTACATTTATATTTTAAATATAAAAATATTTTTAATAAATTTTTATATTAACAAAAACTACATAAAAATGTTTCATATTTTTATATAACACATTTATAATGTATGTTTATAGAGTGCATAAACTATAGAAATTTATAACATAAGCATTGAAGGAGCTCAGGAAATTTCACCCAGAAATTATGATGCCTTGGTATAAAAAAAAAAAAAAAATATATATATATATATATATATATATGCATATATATGTATATATGTATATTGCAGGTTTTGGTTGGGGTTGGGTTTGAACCCAACACCTCTGGTGTATGGGGTCTGTGCCCTACTCCTTGAGCCACAGGCACCACCCCTGAAAAATATTTTGAACTAAAGGCCATTCCAGATAAAAAGGGTCTTTTCCTCTATCAATGTAAACCAGATCTATCAAAAGAACACAAAGAACAAAGGCCTTCTTCTCACTGTTATCTCTATATATTGCAGAATGCTGCCAGACCTGGCCGAAATCATTTAAATACAAAACCTGTCTCTCGGGTTAGTTTCCAAGTCAACCTATCTCCCACATTCATTTGTCCTGCCTAGTACCATTTGCCATCCTTAAACAGAATTACCTAAGCTACTCATTCCCATCCCCTCCAAAAAGACAGACATAAAAACATCTCAACTTCATTGGAGTACTGGGTAATCACTCTGTGATTTTCTCCATATGCTCAATAAATAAACCTTTCTCTTATTAATCAGCCTTGATTGTGAGTTGATCTTTCACTGAACTTTGGGGAGTGAAAGACTTTGGGCCTCTCCTCACCCCTACAACCCACTCACTAGTTAATTTTTCATGTGGGATTTTTTTACTGCTCAGTCAAACCAGAGGGCCTCTAGGAAGCTTCGTGGTGTGGTTTCCTTTGCTGTTTCTGCAGATTATTCCAAAATTGTCCATAAAGATTAAAAGAAATTAAAAAAGGACACCAGGAAGATAGAAAATGATAAGGACTTATGAGCTAATAGAGCCTCAAAACCTATGAAATAAAAATGACGAAATTAAAAGGAAGAATAAAAATTCAAGAATAATAATCACAAACATCAATACCCAAATTTCATTCACAGATAAAATAAGTAACCAGACCAACAACAAGGAAACAGAAGACTTGAACAACACTACACACAAACAAGACATTACAGACGTCTACACAGGTCACCACCTATGACTCCGAGACATTACAAACATCTACACAGGTCACCACCTATGACTCTGAGACATTACAGATGTCTACACAGGACACCATCTATGACTCCGAGACATTATAGACATCTACACAGGTCACCACCTATGACTCCGAGACATTACAGACATCTACGCGGTACACCACCTAGATATTTTTTATATACTCAGTCAAGAAGAAAAGATAAATAGTGTCCCATAAATATACAATTGTTATTTTTAAGCCAGGATAAAACCCTAAGCTTTCTGCCCTCACCTGTGTTCACTCATGGCGCCCCCATGTACTCACCCCTCCTCCCTTGCTACAGTATCCTCTACTCAACTTTTAACAAGAGATATTGGGTAGGGATGGGGGTATTTTTCCTCTAGCAGAAATGTGGGCGAGCACTCTGTACTCACAGTAGCCAGGTGGATGTCCTGCAGGCCCTCGGTGCTGTTGCTCTAACTCCATCCCAGGGGCCATGTGAGATTTCTTGTTGGAATCTTGCAAAAGCATCAAAAACACCTTTTTGAAAATGAAGAAAGAGCTGTATGTTATTGGTATGTTCCTTTTCACATTGTGTTTCTTTTCTTTTGCCTCAATTGCCCAATTAGGTCATGATAACATACCCCAGATACATCTCGTCTGTTCATTTAGTCATTTGCTTAATTGGCATAACTCAAAGCTGGTTGACTGGCTGCCTGTTGGCTGAATGCAAAGATGAACACTACTTGACTATGAACCCCCAGACCTTGACACACAGTGATGCTGGTCAAACCCTCAGGCAGTGGAAAGTAGAGAGGGGGCAGGAAATAACACAGTGTATCCAATTCAACTTAAGTTTGTGACTCAGTCTACAAGCATCTTAGAAATTCAGAGGTAAATCAGAAAATAAACTTGAGGTGTTCACAGTTTATTTATGGTAGACAGAATCTCACATATAAACATCCCCACTGACTGTGTCCTGTCCGTGGACTATGATGTACTGTGTCGCTAAGGTACTTCATTTAAGCAACTTGGCTTGAAGTCATTCTTTAGTGCTGGAAGTAAAAAATCCAACCTCTATTTACTGAAAGTCAAAGGCCAGGACCAAATTGCAAAAATAGGATGAGGAATCAAGAGAGATAGCCAAGACAAGGAGAGAAGGGGCGGGCTGGGCATCAAGGCCCCAAGCTACACCTGGAGACCTGGTATAGCTTTACGGAGAGGGGAAGCAAGAAGCCACAATCTTTGTATAAACATTGGGCAGAGCGCAAGAAGCATAAAAATCAAAGTCAGTAAGCCCCACAGTAATGCAGTGCAGTGGTTGAGGGATAAGGCGCGGGTCCCTAACCAGCTCCACTCCTGGCAACATGTGGGCTGGCCCTGGGTCTGCAGGCACAGAGTTCAGACCCCTCAGAGTGCTGGCCACCTTGTCCGGTCTATGCAGGGATAGTGGTAATAGTCATTAAAATGGCCGTGAAGTGCCAGGCACAGACTCTGAAAGTGTACAGGTATCCTGCTATTCATGTGCAAGCCAAGAGCCTCTCAACACCCTCTGCAGGCCAGGCCCCCAGCCAGGTGCTGCATGGCCACTCTCTCCTTTGGCATCCTCTGTGCACATGCTCCCATCGCTCCCTCCCTTGCACAAGTCCACAGAGATCCAGGTTCCCGGCTGGACTCCCCTCTAAGCAACTCCTGCTGGACAAGTTTCATTCCCACCCAGCTGGTGTCTCAATTCAGCAGGTCAACAATGAGCACCCCACCTTTCCAATTTCAGTACACAGCATCAGCATTCTGATTCCCCTAAATAAACAAAAGGTACTGGGCAGTGCCTGTGGCTCAGTGAGTAGGGCACCAGCCCCATATACCAAGGGTCACGGGTTCAAACCCAGCCCCAGCCAAAATGCAACAAAAAAATAGCCGGGTGTTGTGGTGGGCGCCTGTAGTTTCAGCTACTCTGGAGGCTGAAGCAAGAGAATCACCTAGGCCCAAGAGCTGGAGGTTGCTGTGAGCTACGTGATGCCATGGCACTCTACTGAGGGCGATAGAGTGAGACTCTGTCTCTACAAAAAAAAAAAGGTGTTGACTGTCTGTAGATGTTCCCTGGGAGCCACCAACTCAGAGTAGGGGACAGGGGAAAGGCACCAGAGAGAAGCAGTAAAGAGTGAGCAGGCTGCAGGAGAGGCAAGCATTGTCTTTAACAGTCACATGTAACTGAAAATATAAAGTGTACTTTGATAATTAAGGTATTCATGATAATACTGCATCTAAACTTTAAAAATTGTCCTTCTCTTCTTCTCATAAAAGGGCTTTATATGTGAGAGTGGATGCATGTATGAACAAGTATGAATGTGTGTATGTACATGTGTGCACACATCTGTGGATGCGTGTGTTGGAGGAGGAAACAGAGTAAGGGCAGCAATTTTGCCCTCGATCATCTCACAGAACAGCAAGGATATGATCAATTATGATCAGACAACGAAGAATCAGGGAATTCTGGAACTTTGCATTGGAAGGTTAGAGGCAAGTCCAAGACCCTAAGAATGTTCTGGGTGCCTTCCACTGGCAACTCACCCTAACTGCAGGCACATCATCCAAGAGGCTCTAAAAATATGAGAAAATGTCAGTAGCACAGTTAACAGAAAGGACGATAAAGTTTCCAATTTTGAAAAGCAATATGACATTGATCACAGTAGTCTAAGGTTTGGGTCTCGATGGCAGAATTTATCATTGTTATTTGGGGCTGTCATTCTCATTCTAAATGGAAACAGATGACAATTGTAAACCTCCCCTTGGCAAGAGTCTCACGGCACCTTAGCATCCAGAATAGAACATTACCCAGGGCTCCAGTAAAATTAGAGTGTAAGGAAATGCCCAGCCTTCCAGTGAATTTGGAAAACGGACCCTCCTCATTATAGCTGTAGTATACAGGAAGCCTCTGAAACAGGCAGGAAAATATCTAAACCCACAAGTTCCCTAATAACAGTCAAAGATCAATCCTATGTGCTCCCTTCCTGACAGGCACCCCACAGAGGAGTTCTGTTTTGCACAACTTGTATTTTTAAAAAGAAAGATTTGCATCTCTTTTCCTTTGCTCAGCTCTTTTCAAAAGTTGTGCAAAACAGAAATCCCGCTGTTAGGGGGAAAACTCACAGGATTGCTCTTGAACTGTCATTGGGGAAACTGGAATTAGGTAGTTGCCTGTTGCTGTTATTTCAACAAGGCTGCTCCTTGATGTCTCCACTTAACATCGACTCTATGATCTTGAAAACTTTAAGGGAAAAGACACACAGAAAATCCTCAAATAAAGTCATTTCATTCAACATTGTTTTGTTTTAATGTTTATGAGGGGAAAATACTAGTTTTGTTATAAATAGTTTTGCTTAAAGTTAACCATTTCCAAGAGCCTATGGATGTTAAGTGAGGACTTACTGTATTTATTATCTAATGCCTATTTTTCAGAAAAACTTTAAATTAATAATTGTATTTAAAGGCCAAATCTTCAAAAGAAAGTTTTATGTAATTGACATAGAGAAACATATACTTTTGTTTCATTGGACAATTAAGAGGAGATGCAAAATACTGCAAAAATAATTTCATTAAAGAAAAGATTATGAAACTCCTGATCCACTTTGGAAGCTATTTGAGTACAGGCTGAACGTGTAATGTCCCAGTGGCACATCCCATGGTTTAAGAAGAATGCTGCATCTGTGCATTTGGTATGGAATGACATTAATATACATACATGTTCCTCCTCTTTTAGTGTTTTTTTATCACTTTTAACTGAAAATAGGCCATAAACCAGTTACAATGGATCAAATGAGACCTACAGCTGTGTGGTTTTATACAAAAGAACTAGGACACTATCTTCAATCTGATCTAATGTCTGAACTTCGCTGGAATTAGCTCAGACTTCTGAAGTCAATGCATAAATTGGTTAAACTACTCTTATGAACTTCCAAGTGAATTTGTCACACAAAATGAATAGGAATAAAATAAAAAGCAATAAAATCAAATCTTAAGGACAGTTACTAACATGAAAATAATTTGCAATTTAATAGAAATGTGACTTGAAAGGCAATGTCTATGGTCCTATTCTGTCTTTTCAAGGAAGAGTAAACTCAAAAGTTTGGAGATTCTTTACTTGGGGACTCATATCTTTTTAATTTAAAAGAGTGGCAGGATCTAAGCATTTATGATGGCCCAGTGTCATCTCAACACTGATTGTCCCGTCAGTCCCTCAGACTGGCCTGCGCTGGCCTATTTTTCCGTGTTCTCTGTTTTAAAGGGTATTGTCAAGGTGTGTTAGACCCCAGATGTGATCTGCACTTAAAATGTCAGTTTGATGGACTATAGCCTGGACATGCTAGAGAAATTTATGAAGAAGCTGACCAAACTTCCATAAGACAATGACAACTGAGTTTTGCTGAGTGATGACATGAGCAGAGGAAGAATTTCTAAACTTTGATGAAAATATAACATATGATGTATTCTTTCAGTTTCCCCAAAGTGATTGCTTTTACAGAAGCAGAAGACAAAACAATGTGGAAAGCTATTCGATGTTAAGAACTGCAAGAGGTCCTGGCAATTCCTCTCCAAACACAGGACTCTGAGAAGAGCTGCCGCCTGGTACACTGCACAGTGCATGCGGCTGAATGTTATTATTTCACACGGACTTGTATGGGTTTCTGTTACTGCTGGAATTACCACAAATGTGGTAATTATTACAAATGTGGTGGCTTAAGATAATGCATTTATTACCTTATGACTCTGAATGTGGAATCCTAAAATGGACATTACTAGACTAGAATCAAGGGAAAATACATGCCCTGGACTTTTTCAGCTTCTGGTGGCCACCTGTATCATTGGGCTGAGAGCTGCAGCCTCCATCATCAAGGCTCATTATGATATCAACTTCTTCCTGCCTGATTTTCCCTTATCCTTCCTGTGTGGGACCTTTGATCACATCAAACCCAGCCAGATAATCTGGGATCATCTGGCTGTCACAAGGCCTTTATAGGTAACATTTGAAGGCTCCAGAGACTGGGATGTGGAATCATCATAGAACCATCACACCATCAGGACATCTTAGAAACAAGGGCTGTTGATTTAATGTGCCCCTGGATACTACAAAGACAGTAAAAAAATCACAAGGTGAAGTAGAAAATTTTGGAACCCAACACAATTAAGTTCCAATTTCTGACTGTGAGCAAGTCAGTACTTTTTTTAGATTTAGTCCCTCAATCTATTTATGCAAGGATATGATTAAATTAGGTAAGATACAAAAAGGTTAACTTATGCTTAGAGTCTATGACATCCTACAATACTGTTTTATAAACACAGAATGCAAAAAAATGTGTCCCAGTCCTCCAGCCTGAAAGACTGATGGCACAACCAGTGTTTAGAAGACACCAGGCTGTCTTAAACGCTTAGACTCTGAGGCTGTGTTAAATTAGGAAAAGCTAAGTCCCCAAATGAAGAGTGCCCAAAATATTGAATATACACCACCCCTGACCACCTCCCTACATTGACCACCTTCTGAA